CTGGATCAAAGTCTCCTTTAGATTCTGCCTAATCTGGACAGCCTACAAGCAATCTAGCTGAGCCTGAAGATGGAAGAACTCGCAACATATTAAGCTTGAGTGTACATCAGTATATTTGTGAAGAAAATTCTTGCCGGTAATACAACCTCAAAATAATAAGTGTGAGAAAAAAGGGTACACATTTTGTAATTGAGTACAATTGGTGCTGAAAAGAAGCAGTGTATAAATGGCCTTCTGGGAAGCAGTACTACTCTGAGCCACAGAAACCTTGGCAAGGATGTATCATTGGACTTCTAAAGAGGGAGGCAGAGAGCAGAATCTCCAAGGGATCACTGCCATGAAGCCAGGCTACTAGGGAAAATCAGGGCTCAAGTCACCAGAACTCACTTTCTTTCTCACATCTGACCAGCACCGATCACTGCCAGAAAAGGGGAAAATTACTTAGTTTATTTTCTCAGGAGTTTAAAGTTTTGTGAAGACATCTGCATTGAACTTTAAACATAGTGCAGTAGCTCCTCTCAGGGTGTTTGTGAACAGAAAGGGCTTTTTTGATCTCAATGCCATATGGCTTTCCAGCGGAAAATCGAGTGTAGACTGGCTCCCTGAGCCAACACAGCTTCTTGGCTGTGGGTAATATACAGTACTGGAATGCACAACAGCAAACACCATCACATTTTATCAGCTTGAGGCCAGAGACAGGTTTAGTGTGCCATGAGCCACAGCCTTAGCAGCTATATAGCACATTACAAGAGCTAAAGCTTTCCTCGTTCTGTGAGATAGGTACCTGTCCCTGCTTCACAGCTAGGGAAATCACACGCAAGGGAGAGCTCAGACCGGAGTAAGGACCAGTCCCAACTTTCAGGATAATTGAGACCATAATGTTTACAGGCAGGGTAATGGACATGGCTTAGCTTGCGCAAAACAAGGGCTGAATGGTGCTCAGGATGCAGAGGGGTCAACATCAGCCACAAAACAAGGGCTGAATGGTGTTCAGGATGCAGAGGGGTCAACATCAGCCGAAAGAGGAATGTTAAACACCAGACTATATTGGATTATACTACTCAGAAATACACACAGTAAATTAGAGGCTTCCTAATCATTAGAACAACTTTGCTAACTGACAGCCTTCAAATTAGGATAGTGCAAAATTAAAGGGAGCTTGCTTTTTCTGCTTAAAGTGTGCTTGACACATTTCTGAAGGTTATATGACATGATACCTATGGAGATGGGAAACATTTGACAATGCTGAGGGTACCCTTGTTCCTGTTTTTGTTGCTATTGCTACCTAACTAGGAATTATTGATAACCTAGGTTAAGTGTGGTGAGTGGAAATGGCTCCTCACCTCCCTCATAAGTGCAGTTTTTTAACTTGTCATTGAAGAATTATTTTATTTGTTGAAAAGCAGATTAATTTTTAACCTTTGCATCTCTCAATTTGGTTGAGTAGAGTAAGTCTTATACTCTCCAGTGAAAGTTTCAGATGCATGGGGTTTCCCAAATGAGAAGAAACTGTTTGCAAGGAGGGCTTTAGGGGGTTAGAACACAATAGGTAGATTTATCTCTTTTCTTGGGCTAAGTCTCTAAAGAAAACAGCATTCAACAAGTAGCTAGAGGTTTGGTCCCTCAAAATGACACCTTTCTGAAATGCTATGGTGTGTTGCAGCCTGGTTCCTCACTGTCCTTGGTCAGGGTGAAGCCACCATGGGTCAGTGCTCACCTCAGCAGGGCTGCAGGATGTGCTGCTCTGTCATGGCACAGCAACAAGGTGGTGGAGAGATCAGAAAGCAGTGTTACTGTGCCAGATCAAAAGCATTCCAGGGGTAGCCTAACTAAAGCAATTTAAATTCTAATATTTATATACATTATTTTTATTCTGTATTAATAATGCATTACTGATATAATAAAAACTATCAAACCATAAGCATATGATGAATAGCTGATATAGAAGTGTACTTTACTATGTCCTCTTCCCCAGCTTCCTTACAGAGTTCCTTGCAGGATAGTTAGTCCCATGGTTTTGTTCTCTTACACTGAAAGCAAGCCTCTTTCCCAAAAGAGGGCTGCCAGGTTAAAATAATTTGAGTCTTTTGTCATCTTGATCCTCTTAAACTAGGGGAAACCTGTCCTGTCTCTCCAGGGGAGAGATCAGCATTAGTCACCTGCCTGTACATTCTGTAGCAAATATTCTTGCCACTGCCTGTTTGTAACTTCATATAAACAAGCCACATGTGTCCTGGATTCCTGATGCAACATGAGGATTTTTATTGGCATCACAGAGGATTTCTGGGGATTAGTTACTCACTGTTGCTACAGTGAAGATGCAAGATGCTGAGCATTGGCAGGGACTCTCTGCAGCCTGACAAAGCAGACAGCACCACAGCACTAAGAACTACCACCACTATTCCAGCTCTGCTGCCTTCAACAAGGCCCATAGGAAGGTGGAGAACCTTTAGGTCATTAACTAGAGGTAATTTAGCAGAACTGGTGTGGTGGTTGTGTTGTTTTGTTCCTCTCCCCAAAGGAGAGAAGATACTTGTGAGTAAAATTGCTGAAGGTCGCAGTAGTTTGCAGTCTGGCTAGCAGAGGGGAACTTGGGCAATACTGTTAGGGATGATTCAGTGAGGTTAATGGCAGGTTTTAAGCAAATGTGATTAGACATATCATATCAAAAGTAAATAGTCCTGGAGCAGCCATTCATTTTTAAAGCAGAGAAGTTGTATATACTATGTAATACTATACAACATTGGCTGTAATACTAGATAACATTACATGGCTTCTGCCAGATCTCATATAGCCATTAGGAAGGCAACGATGCTTATTGGTTAAAAAACTTGAATGGAAATTGTACCCTCTCTGTACAATGCTCCAATAAGTATTGGTTCATGTACTGATCGACTAATACTCTTTTTTACCATACAGTTGAGTAAATTTAAGTGCTGCAACACTTATTGCTGCTGCCCTGGAAAAGCAATGGAAAATGCCCCTCCTAATGTTCAAATGCAGGCTTAGACAACCACAGCGTTGGGAAAGGAGTAGCAGGGATGTTGTGGAAAGCATCACAGACCAGCTCCTCAGGTGGAGGCAGTGGATAAGGTGTTCTGTAAGCATCTGGCAGTAGTATGAGATGTGCAGGTGATTTGAGCAGCCAGTTCAGCAGAAAACCATCAGTATAGCATGCAAATGTTTAAATCTACTCTATATACTTCTACAGAGACTTCAGACTGTTGTCAATAGGAGGTGGTACAGATGAAACCATGCTTTACATCATATGCAAACACATGGAAATTCTTCCAAGCAAGTGACGCATCTCCACTCTTCCTTGAAAATTAAGAAAGCAAGAGCATGACCTGTACTGCACACTGAAGGTAACAAACAGCCAGCACATATCAAGTAGAAAACAACAGTAATTTTGCCATTGAAATGCACATCAAGGTCTTTCACCATTACTATTCTGTACCCTCCAGTGTCAAATTTCTGTTGATATGAACCAGTCTGAGAGCATGCAGCATCCTGCAAGGTATTTTTCCATTTTTTTCAATGGGTTACTGAAGTTTTTCAGTGATCCATGCTAAGTGCACAGGAAAAAGTGTTCTTTAATCAAGCTTTATCCACGTTTTAGAACATCTAAGCTGACAGTTAAAAAACACAACTTCCACGTGGGTACAGCTGTGATTTCACTGCTAGCTTAATCTTATTTCAGTGTAGCTTTGCTTTCAAGATCCATAATTAAGGCACAAATGATTCCCTGCCATATTCAAATACTAGAACAATTCCTGCCCTATCTTTCACTTTCATCAAAATGAGCTCTATCATCTTTGCCAAGCTCACATCGATTTGTATTACACTCTGTAGTGGATGTTTGGTGATGGCAGGAGTGGCTGATTTTTATTTGAAGAATTCTACAAACAACTCTTTAATTGTATCCTATGCTTTTGGCGGCCTGAACCTCAGCAGCAAGGTTACCACTGTGTGTAACTATTAAATAAAAGTACTAAAATAAACATGTTAACATGAAAATCGTGTGTAGTTAAACTCTTCCTAAAACAGCCATTTACATCAGAAGAGCCTGTATTATTGATTAAAAAAACCCTAAAAATTGCCCCTTAAATGCAGCACCATATCCAAAAAATACACCTGTATTCTACAGTAGAAAAGAACATGTATGAACAACACTTTCTAGAATACTACAAGACACTTTATTTATCAGTTCACAATTAGTTATTAATGGTAACACATTATACAGTATTTCTAGAAAAGTCTTTCATAAATTGTTGATACAATTTCAGTATCCAGGAAACTTAAATTTCTTTCAATGTTCAATGTAATAGCTTCAACTATTTTAAACTATTTGGTGAGCCAAAGATAAGTCTTCAAAATAAAACCCCTTAATGTGACTGCACCTCCAACAGGTGCATCATGATATCCTTTAATATAAAATTGAGAATATCTGGCCTTATATTTCAGACATCATCCGGTGTAGATTTAGGGACCATCACAAATTGAAAAGTAAACATACTAATGGTAAAAGTCCAAGTGATTCAATGGAATCATTAAGTTTAAGATACTTTACATATAAAGAAAACATTTGTGCTGTGGCCATATTGGTTGATCCCAATGATCAAAGGCATTTGCTTAAAAGAGTAGATGTGTAAGCATGATTTGTCACATTTAAATTAAAAATAAAAATCCAGTTTTAAGTAACTTCTCCCCAAAACACACAGTTTAAGCTACTTAAACACATACTCTATCAGATCTAGCCACAAACATAATTTTTGGGGCTACTATTAAATTCGTTAGCTTCAAGTCAACCTTTTAAACATCACAGATAAAACCAATTTAGAAAGATCCAAGTATTCTTCATGCTTTTGCAATCTAGGAATTACTACATGGCTGAAAGTGGAGCTCTAATTTAGAGCATGGCCCAGAATGAAAAGCAGAATGAAAGAGAAAGGCTTGTAATTCTGCAATTACTTCATATTCGAACTTTTGTTTTCTGGTTTGTTTTAATCAATTCTAAAAACTATTTTCCCCTAAAAAATGCAACCTTTTATGTATGCTAGCAGCTCCTGCATATTTACAAAAAATCCCCCCAAAACAGGGGATGATGGGAAAAATTCTGATACAGTAAGAAAACTAAATATAATCGCATTAATAGTTAATGCAATTTACAACAATTTCACTGTGTTTTAGCAACAGAATATGCCACTTTAGATCAATGTCTTCATTAATTAAGACTGCAGTTGAAATCACACAATGTAAACCAGAGGTAACATGCATCACCTCAGTTTAATAATCCAGTATATTACAAAAAAAACAAACAACGAGAAGAGCATCATATAGCACAACAGCTTAGTCTGGCTTCCTCTGGAGAGAGTTCTCAGTCTGCCCATTGTTGCTCCTAGAAGTCCACCTGTGGAGTCAAAATCATTCTCCTATATTTAAGAAAAACAAACAACAAAAAACATGTTACTTTGAGAAAAAAAATACCCTTAAAGCTCACTAGTTTTCCCCTGGTTTTTGTTTTTTGTTTTTTTTTCAAAATTTCCCAAACTAAAATTATTTTATTGGCAAAAATTAACCAGGAAAAGCTTTCACCCATTTATCCAGTGATTTTTTTTCCAAGCCAAAGAAAAGTGTAAGCAAAAAAGGCATTTCTGACTTCCTTTTTTTTTGCTTCTATTCTTGAATACAATTAAATATAGAACTGCCTTTTTAATTACACTATAAATTTGCTAATTGAAAACCAACAGTCATATCTGAAGTATAAAGATTTTCGTTGTGCCTTGAAAGTAATACATTTGCACATCTTATCTTTGTTAACAGAAATACTCCTGCCAAATCAGTCACATGTCACAGTCAAGAATAAGCTGTCAACATGTTAATACAAATGTGCAGACTGAAAGACAGATGCTGTACAGTACTAACTCCTCAATCCTGCCCTATAGCTAAGGTTAGTTACTAAATACTTACCATTTCTGATAACATTTTATTTTGGTTTTTAACTTCTGTTCCAATTTCAATGGAAAGCTATTAAAAAAAAAAAAGGAAACCAAAAAGTATGAGCAGTTATATACAGATTAGTGAACTCAGTCTAAAATACATTACATGACTCGCAATTCCCCAGAAAAAATGTGAAAACAGTAGCTTTTTCAAAAAAACCCCAAAATAACATGCACAGTATTGTGTCAATAACCCTTAAGAAAATAAAGATTTTTCATCTGACTAGATGAGTTTAAAGAGTGACAGAAGGTATTCAATGCTCCTCCTCCCCTTTTCCAGATAATTTCTTATTAGAAATATTGCACAGACTTTCAAAAATCCAAGATCTAGTCAAGTCTAAAGTAGCAATTACCCATTTCCTGGAACAACTGTTAAAACTGCGAGCACACAGCATGGAGAACCATGAGCACTCATTTGACTCAGTGCTGCTGGAGTTGACACCTGTAAGCTGTTAACACATCTTTTTTGTCAAGTTGCTGCTATGCTATAAACGGGATTTTCTTTAGTGAACCAGTCTAGTCCTATGCTTTGCCTCACATAACAGCAAGAGCACTGCAGGACAAGGAGGAAAGCTGCACAGGCCAGGAAGAGTCCTGAGATAGTGGCCAGGGCCAGGAACACCCTTGTGAGCAGCCTGAGATAGGTCCAAGGTCAGGCCAGAAAGCAAAGTCAGGTTAGGGTCAGAATCAGGGAGGTATTGAGAGCTGGCAGAGATGGAGCTACAACACAGCTGCAACATCACAAAGGTGAGAGCAAGCCAGGAGAGCCTTGGCTTAACAGCAGCTCCAGAGTCAAACCGAGGAGAACTCACACTGAGGCTAATTCTTACGAGTTTCTCCTCCATAACTGTTCTCATCAGCACTCTGGCCTTAAACAACCAGCTCAACTCCTAGAATGAAAGAAATATGCTCCAAGCCCCCAAGCTTTGGATTAGCCAAAACCTGTCTGGTGTCACAGCCTAAATCTCATTATTTCTTTACTGCTGCATTTCAGCACAATCTATGAGTTAAGAGTGAAACTGACTTTACATGAGGCTTCTTGCAAGATAATCTGAAAGCTACTCCATATGCAATGATTATTACATTGCACTAAAAGATGCAACTGTAGAAAGAGCATGTGTGCTGCTCCCTGGGGCACTATCAACTGTGCTGTCGACATACATCGATTTTGAAATATAACATTCCAGAGGAGGAGACAAGAAATTAAATTCAATAACAAAGGTCAAAGCTTTTCTTTTACCTCCATTACTTATTCTAAATCATTATTCCAAACCTGTTCTAGTTTGTTTGAGACTAAATCAATTTTAAGCAACAGTATTAGCAACAGGACTTTGAATGAGTTCAGGCCTAAGAATTCATTGGCTTGTACTACATATATAGAAATGGCACCTACTGTTAAGAATGTACTTTACAGAATCTTAAGTTTTTAAGAATAAGAAACCCACACAATTTTAATCACAGAGCTGTCTTTCAGCTAGACTTATTTGAAAGAGGTCCTCAATCTCTGGAAGAAATCAGAATCATTAGGACAACAAACTTCTCCTTCAGATGATATCAGCATGCTAATTTCTAAGAGCCATTTTCACAATACATACTTTTAGCAGATACAGCAGAAACTGATGATCCACAGGGATAAAACCAAAAAAGGAGTAGTCCATTTTCTTAAATGGACCAGAGTTTACTGACCTAAACTCTGAAGTTTTTACTTTCTGCAGTAATTCATTCTGCAGGACAGTAAGCCATAAGTTACACTACAGTTGTGCAGGCATAAAAGGACATCTCTAGCATAAAAATCTAATTAGAGGAAGAAACAGTTTTACAAACAAATGATTGTGCATTTTGGCTGGCAGTAATTCTTTCTTGTATTTGTATTGGGTTTGGCAAACTTCATCAAGGTTTTGATGGCATAAGGGATACAAGAGTGGCTTCTGTGAGAAGCTGCCAGAAACTTCCCCCATGTCCCACACAGCCAATGCCATCAGCTCCAGCACTGTGCTGCAGCCCATGGTGAGGCAGCTGTGCTCCTGCAGTCCATGGAGGTCCACAGGGGTGCAGAGATCCACCTGAAGCCCCTGGAAGACCCCACACCAGAGCAGCTGGTGCCTGAAGGAGGCTGTGACTCTGTGGGAAGCTCACACTGGAGCAGGCTCCTGTCAGGTGCTGTGGACCCATGGAGAGAGAAGCCTACTCTGGAGCAGGTGTGCTGACAGGAGT